TACTTAGTATTTTGAGCAGTTGGTTTTGTGCAGAGAAAGGCTTTTTAGAAGAGAAGAGAATAGAGGAGGATTGGGAGAAAGGGAGTTGTTAGATTTCTGAACACTCCGGTTTATACCATGGGCAGGACTAGTGTGGGCGCAGAGACGGCCGAGCCAGGGCGGCCAAGAATGTGAAATACTCCTTCCTCTCCTGCTCTGTACGTCGCAGGAGCCATCCTGTGTTACCTGGCCTAGCTGGAGGCTGAGGCCATACATCGGAACAAAGCACTCGGCCCTGAACTTTTCCCCTCCATAGTTCACAAGCTGCTGAGTAACGAGAGCTCCTCGTTGCTTTTCTTGTTGACCACTGTTGGGATGGGAGACCGTGGCAGGACCCGGGTTACCTGAGGAGCACAGCTGACCCTAGTTGTGTTGGGCAGCCTTAGTGTAGCCCAACCATTTCTTCCATTTACCTGCTTTTGGCCAGATCACTGCTCTGTGGAATTGCTCTGTAACTTAGTTGGGCCTCACTGAAAAGAACACTGGACCTAATGGACTCTCTGCTTTGCTGTGTTCTGCCCTGCTTTGTTCTTACCAGGAAACCAAGAACTTTAATGAGCTAGTATTTTATCCTGAGTTTTTAGTCATTAGAGATAGCCAAGGTCAAGGTGAGAAAACAATCACATTGGTCTTTGTGACCTCGTTCAATTTTTAAGGAAGTCTGCATTCTGGGATTTATTTAGGCAATAAAATGCTCCCATTCCGCTCTTGTCTTTGTGTTGCTTTCCTACATGGAATAAAGCCCTCACTGACCGCGCTGTTTGGAAGGCCAAGATCCTGATAATGCCCTTCTTTCCCAAGATAGGAAGAGTAACCACACAGACTAACTTGGATATAGATGAGATGTAATAAAACATCAGGGTTTGAGATGATGAGGGTTCCAAAATTGAATGCCTGCTCTTCGTTAAGAATGCTCCAGGAATAAGGTAGGCCCAGCCCCAGGTTTTTTGGAACTTACAGCCTTCATTGGGTCTCTCAATGGTGACCTTTGGTCATTTAGGGTAGGACAGTCCTTGGTCTTACAGAACAATCCTGCGTATTGCTGTTCCCTGGCCAGTAAATATCTAGAGCTTCCGACAATCAAAACCTACCTATCTAGCTGGGCACAGTGGTGTAGGCCAGTGATCCCAGCAGCTGAAGAAGCTGAGGCAGGACTGCAAGCTTGAGGTCAGCCAGGCCTCCAACATAGCAAGACCCTGTCTCAAAATTTTAAAAAAGGACTGGGGATGTAGCTCCATGATAAAGTGTTAACCAAGCATGTGTGAGGCCCTCGGCTTAGTTTCCAAAACTGAAAAGGTGTATGGGGAGGGCACTGCTTTTGCCAGATGGAATGCACCTGTAGTTCTGGCCGAAGTAGAAGAATCACTTGGGCTTAAGAAGTGGGGCCAGTCTGTGCCACATAAGGAGATCCTGTCTCTTTATAAAACAAAACAAATCCCAGCACTAGGGAGGCTGACGCAGAGGAGGGTAACTTCCAGGCCAGCCTAGGCTGCATAGGAAGACCTTGTCTCAAAAACAAAAGCCAAACAAAGTCACTGGCTTAATGGGAAGTGTAATTTCAAAAGCTAGTCCCAGGGCAAGGGTTGTAACTCACTGATCAAATACCTAAAAAAATTTGTCCTGATTTCTGCTCTTAAATGCAGCTAAGATGGGTGTGGGGGTGCACACCTGTAATCCCAGCACTTAGAGGCAGGTGTAAGAGGATTGCTGCAAGTTCAAGGCCAGCCTGGGCTACATAGCAAGACCATGTCTCAAAAAAAAAAAAAAAAAAAAATACAGCTATTACATTTGATCATTCTTTCCCAGGTTCTTTTTATATACAGGCTTTCTGGGTTTGGTTGGTTAGTTGGCTTGCAGTCCTGGGGAGCTGGGGGTTGAACCCAGAGTCTTTGCAATGAACTGTATTGCAGCTGTTTTTAATTTCTTGTTTTGAGGCAAGATCTTGTCAAGTTGCCCAGGATGGGCTCACACCTGAGCAATCCTCCTCCTGCCTCAGCCTCTCGGTGCTGGGATTACAGGTGTGTACCTCCACACCCAGTTATGCTTTCTGTTTTGATTTTATGCATAACGCACAAGTACTGTTGGGGCCTTACTGGCTCTCAGCTTTGTGGTGGCACTAGGGGAAACCTCAGCTCAGATGCCAAGATGCCTGAGCAGTGCCCACAGATGTAGCTGATTTTAGGAGAGAAAGCGTCTTTTTTGTGTTGAGTTCCTGAGACCATTTTGAAACAAGCTATAAAACATAGAAATTTATTTCTTAACTTCAGACACTGATACTAGAAATAGACCCAGGAATGAGTTTGGCTTTCCTGTCCCCAAGCTTCTGTTAGCCCTGTGCTGCTAAGATGGGTTTGAATTCCTTGGGCTTTACTTCCTCCTCAAAATGTACCAGCAGAAAATCCAGGGAAAGCCAGTGGACTTGAGCACTAAACTGCGTGTATCAGGAATGCTTTGGGATATGAGAAAAAGCTTAACAGTAGCTTAAGTAAATATGGGACTTACTTGTATAGGTCCAGCCATGATTTCTGTGATTCTCTTAGCCTTTTCTCTTCTGGTGGAACTATGCAGCTCTAGTTACCACAACCATGTTTGGGACAAGAAGGAAAGCTAATATTTTCCCCCAACCTCCCTGCATACTGTCCCCGCTCAATGGCAAGACTAGCTCATATGATCTCCCTTACCTGCAAAGGAGGGTGCGGAACCCAGGAGAGTCTTAGTTGGCTTGTGCCAGCAGTCGACCTTCCTTTGTTTTTTGTTTTGTTTCCTTCTGTTTTTTGTCTTTTTGAGACAGGCTCTTGCTGTGCAGTTCAGGCTGGCCTTGAGCTCACTTTGTAGCCCAGGCTGGTCTAGAACTTGCAACAATCCTCCTGCCTCGGCCTCCCGAGTGCTGGGATTACAGGTCTACACCACCACTTCGACCTTCCTTTGGACTGGGTATACTACTGACCCTCAAACAGTTTTGAAAGTGAAAAGGTTCTTTGAAAGTGTAGGATTTCGCCGAGCATGGTGGCACACACCTGAAATCTCAGCATTTGAGAGGCTGAGGCAGGAGGATTGCTGCAAGTTCAAAGCTAGCCTGAACTACACAGCACGACCCTGTCTCAAAAAAAAAAAAAGGGAAAAGAAAGGGAAGAAGGAAGAAAAGAAAAAGTGTGTAGCCCTTAGTGGGTGAAGATGTTATCCCAGTCTCCTGAGCATAATAATGCTAGTGTGAATGCTTTTACAGAAAGATGTTCAGCTGTTGTTTCTTTCCAAGCCTAATTGTGAGTGGATTTCTTCTAAGCCACTGTATCCCCGCTTTGGCCGGCTTTACATGTCTCAGTTTCTTAGCCCAGGAAATAAACTCTGTGAGAGGAGGTTTTATTTTTTCCTTCCTCAAAATGTTATCCTGTCAACACAACAGACTATATTTCTTGTTTTATTCCTCTGCCGGTCTTTCCACCAGCTGGCTCCCGCTGCCCTCTGTCTGAGCCCTTGCATCCATCCTGCCTTACAGATGCATGCCATGTATACCAGCTAGCTGAAAGTCTCAGGTTTACCTCTGGTACTCTACTAACCTTTCCTTTTTCTCTTTCTCCTCCTCTTTGTCCTCTCCTTCTCTTGTTTTCCCTCCTCTCCGTTCTGCTGCAGAGCGTCTCTACAGCCAACTTGAGCGAAACCGCCTGCTTTCTAATGAGCTGAAGCTAACGCTGCATGATCTGTGTGACTGATGGGCGGGGCTCACTGATGCCCAGTAAACCGAGCTTACTGCTCACACCACTGACCCGGACCCCAGCAAAAAGCTGATTGTCTTTTTCAGAGTTAATATTTTGCCCTAAAGGAGTTGCTTTTTACTTGGGGCAGTTAGAATACTGTTGATTTCCTAACAGCACTGTCAAGTTGGAATAGTTAAATACTGCCTTTCTGTCCCTTTATCAGAGATTATGGGTGACAAAGGAAGGGGCCCGAGTGGTTGTAGTGACAAAGCTTGGGGGAATTTTCTGTTTCCCACCCTTTCACTTGTGCACTGGCTATAGGATATATTCCCTTGCATGGATTTTTTTTTTTACAATAAAAAAACTGACTTGATAATATGTTGTAACTGCTTTGTCTTCAGGCCCAGGGATGGGTCCTTCTGACTGGGTGGAGAAAAGGGGAAGGGAGAGAAGGGTGCGGGGTGTGAATATGGGTCTGTGTTGCCTACACCTTCTCTGAGTTGAAGATTTAAGTATTTTCCTTCCTTCCCTAGAGCAGCCAGTGGTTTGCTTGCTCAGCAGTGCAGATGTTTCTTGATGTTCAGCCCCTGGTTTCTTCCTAATATTTTCCCTCTTGCTTCTTGACTGTATGTTTAATTGCAAGTAACTGTTACAGGCTCCATCCAATTAATGGCTCTGAAAACAATCTCAAGGTTTTGTTTACAAGTGTATGTTTGGTAGTATTCTTGGCTTTGTTTTTAGGGATTCTTTGGCTTAGACATGAAGACTTGTTTACTCATCCCGCTGATTATTCTTTTCCCCTCTACTTTTTGGAGAAAGCTCATTGTAAGTGTACGAGGCTCTTCCTGTACTCTTTGCAAGTTGAGATTCTCCCCTTAGAAATGTGCCCGTTGTTGTATGCAGGGGCCGAACTCCAGTGAGCCATTTCAGAGGGTCCTGTTGTGGGAGCCAAGCCTAGAAGCGTGAATGGCTAATGCTTCAGGCCTGCTCTTTCAGTGAAAGCCAGAAGCCTTGGCTGGGTGTGGGATGGAGAGGAAACAGTTGATAAGGTCCTCAGCTCCCTCCCCCAAGAAGTACAGCAACTCTCTGCAACTTCAGTAGTGGAGCCAGAGGCCCTGCAGAACCTCAGTGATGCAATAGCTCACTTCTGTGGTTGAGAAGGCAGCTGCTTTGTTAGTCTGCAGTTCTGCTGCAACAGGAGCAAGTTTCAGAGTGGGCAGTCCTTGAAATTTACTTTTTGTAACTTCTCTCCTTTACCCCTATTAGATAAGCTGAAATGCACCAAAGAGGAACACCTCTGTACACAAAGGATGCTGGACCAGACTCTGCTTGACCTGAATGAGATGTAGAGCTCCCCAGTCCCGCCCTGCCGCTGCTCCTCCCTTTGACCCCGACACCGCCTGAGGCCAGCCTGCCCGAAGCTGACCTCAAAACTGAGGGCTGATCTTTAACTGGAAGGCTGCTTTCTCCTTTCCACGTCCTCTCCCCACACCCCACCCCCTTGTCTTTTTCATCAAACTGTCTCTGCCTCTTCCCAGAGATTCCAGCTGGGCTAGAGGCCGAGCGCCTTTGGAAACAACATTTAAGGGAATGTGAGCACAATGCAAAGTGTCTTTAAAAGCATGTTGTGATGTACACATTTGTAATAACTTTCTGTTGTAGCAACCATTTGTAAAACATTCCGAGTAACTCCACAGCTCCGAAGCAGCGATCTAATTCCTTTCTCACTTGGGAAGGTAACTTTTCAGCCTAATGCACAGTGCTCTCTCCATAGAGGAGGAAAAGAAGTATGGACCTGCCTTCCTGAGAGCCAAATGGAGCCCAGAGAAAGACTCACTGTGGCAAACCTTACAGCTCTGTACCAAGTACCAGCCAAACCAGAAAGGTGATCCCAGGAGGAGTTAGCCAAAAACAAAAACCATGCTGCTCAGGTTTTGAGTTTTAAGGTGTCTTTGGACAACTTTATTTTTATTTGTTACTTTTCTCATCAGAAGTGAGCAAAATAAGATGATGGTGAGACCAAGACTTTTTTTTTTTTTTTTTTTGTGATGCTGGGAATTGAAGCCAGGGAGGGACTCAGGCATGTTAGCCAAGAGCTCTACCACTGAGCCACATCCCTAGCCCTGAGACTAAATTTTTCTCCCACTTCTGTCCCTTTCCCAGATGCTCACTGAATGGATCATGTGTCCCTCCCTTAATGTTGAGGCGACCACTTAATTGCTCTCCTGCCTCTTTGAAAGAAAAGGAAAATGATGTTTTTGCCACTGATTCAGCCATATGAAATTCATCTCACCCTTTTCTGGGTCTGAAGCTGCTGTCTCTAGAAGTGCCATCTCATTGTGCTTTGTATTTCTCCAGTCAGTGCTGGAGAAATCTTGAATAGCTTATGTACAAAACTTTTTAAATTTTATATTATTTTGAAATTTTGCTTCTTTAGGTTTGGAGTGCATGGCTACCCCATCTGGCTGTGAAGAGTTCTCTACAGTCTGTGGGCTGGCAGTGTGCTGATCTTTTGAAGTTTTTTCCTCCACCCAACCCCCACTTTTAGGTGAGGTTTCTGTGAGGTCTGTTAGGTGTACATCCTGCAGCTTATTGGCTTAAAATGTATGCTCCTTTGTTGTGGTCTCTGGGACCAGTCAAGAAAAAGAAGAACCAGTAGTGCAACTGTTTTGATACTGAATATTGACAAGTGTCTTTTTGAAATAAAGAACCAGTCCCTCTTAACCTCAGGTCTACTTGACTTGTTTATATTAAGCCAAATATTCTTTCTCTACAGGAGTTACAGAAGTTTCAGGTCTTGGTGGGTGGCAACAGAATTTAATACATAGCATACACTTTGGAAGCGGTCCAAAATTACTTTCAAAACCTGGTTCTTTAAAAGGGGGGAGGGGAGCAAAATACAGTTCTTATGTTCCCAGTTATATGTCCTTCTGGGAAATCATTAGTGCCGTCATCTGTAAAATGGACTAACACGTACAGGTTACTTACTCAACGTTGGTGTCTTCAGGCTAACTACGTTTGTCTTTTTTGAGTCAGTCTCACTGTGTAGTCTAGGCTGGCCTTGAACTCACTATGTAACCAATTCGTAGCTATCCTGCCTCAGCCTCCTGAGTGCTGGGATTACAGGTGTGTGCCACCATGCCTGACCCCATTTTCTTTTTGCAAGTGTGAATTTTTTTTTTTTCTTTTGTTACTTTGAGACAGGGTTTTACTATGTAGTGCAGGCTGGCCTTGAACTCACTATGTAGCCCAGGCTGGCCTCAAATTCGGAGCCTCCTGAGGGCTATGAATTCTTTCTTTTTTGTGTGTGGGGGTCGTTTTTGAGACGGTCTCACAATGCAGTTCAGGCTGGCCTTGAACTCATGTGGCCCAGGCTGGCCTCAACTCACAATGATCCTCCTACCTCAGCCTCCCAAGTGCTGGGATTACAGGCATGCACCACCACCATGCCTGGCTTTATAAATTCTTACAAGTATGGATTTATGTTCCTTAAACAACATGATGTTGATTACATACTTATATAAATATGTGGTTTTAGTAGACTGAGATGGCCTCTCAGTTAATAGTCTATTAGGGCGGGGGGCACAGGGTATCGTGGTACATACCTGTAATCCCAGCATTTGGGAGGCTGAGGCAGGAGGATCACTGAGTTCAAGGCCAGCCTGAACTGCACAGTGAGACCTTATCTCAAAAAGACCAAAAAAAAATCTATTGGGAGAAAAAATTCTATTGGGTATTTGGAGAAAACTAATACAAATGCTTTCAGAACATCTGCTTACAAGCAGGTCATACTGAGTGGATGGCTTTCAAAGCTGTCTTTGATTGTGTTTTTTTGTTTTTGTTTTTTGTTTTTGTTTTTGTTTTTCTTCTGGCATCAGGAATCGAACTGAGGACCTTGCCCTTGCCAGGCAGGTGCTGTGCCGCTGAGCTAACGCTGTCTTTGAGATGCTAGTCTCTGGCATTTCCTGCACCCTGGCCTTGGAGAAATCGGATTTCCTAGTGAAAACTACTGCGCTCCCTTGACAAAGTCCAGTCGTTTAGACTATAGACTGGGAATTTTTCCTTTTATAGGCATACACCAATGCAGACTGGAAATTAGTGCCCCCTTTAAAAAAAAAAAAAATGTCTTTTTAATCTAAAAGCCACACAGTATACAGTGATTGAAGCTGGAAGACTGTTGGGGTTTTTCGGTTTTTTCCCCCCACTTGTTACTTATTATTTAGATAATATTATCACATCTCATGTTTAGGAAAGTAGCCCTTTGAATGAATAAGGTAGGTTCCTAAAATTTCTATCATTGAGCTTGCTAAGGGAGTTACCGAAAAGAATTCCCACAATTCAGAGCGAGGGAGGCCCCGCCCCCTGCTGACATTATGCCCTTGGATTGGCCCGCTTGGGTGCTGGGAGTGTGGCTGTGGTTGAGAGTGAACCGAGACGCGGCAGTTGCCATGGCCGGCTCTGAGGCCCTGGGGGCCCGAGGGTTGAGGCTGCAGTTACGCTTTCCTGTACTCGTTCTTTTGTTGCTCCTGCCGTTGTTGCTTGGAAGCCAGGCCAACAAACTTAACGTGCCACAGGTGTTGCTGCCCTTCAGCCGGGAGCCGGGGCGGGTGCCCTTCCTGCTGGAGGCCCAGCGGGGCTGCTACGTTTGGTGAGGGGGCAGGACTGTCCAGGTGGGGGTGACCGCTCAGACCCCCAGGAGTGCCGTGCGGGCCCTCGGCGTCCTGCAGGGAGAGGCCCCGGCGTTGAGCTGGAGGGCCCTCCCCTTCCTTCAGCTGTGGTGTGCCCTGTTCAGCTGGGATGTCACCAGGTTATGTGGGTCCCCGAGGGAGACGCTTCTTACCAGGGGTGCTGAGGTGGTCTTAACAGCTGTTGGCAGAGGGGAGCCCTGTGTGGAGGCCACCGGTACTGATGACTCCCCAACGTGAGAGACTTGCAGTGCCAACAGCTGGGATGAGGGAATTCCCAAGATCTGAGGACATTTCCTCAGGAGCAGGAAGACCTGGGGTCCCCACTGAGGCAGACTGTTGAACGTGAGAAGGTCCTAGCACAGCAGCTAGTTAGTTCTTAACTAGCACTTTGCATATATTAACTCATTTACTTTTTACAGTCTTGTAAGTACTATTACTCTCCGAATTCATAAGAAACAGGCTCAGAAGTGTCAGCATCGTGGAATACGAGAAGATTCACCTTCATTGGAGATGAGATGTTTCTGATACAGAAGCCCCTTTTATCCAAGTGTACTCACCTACACTATGAGGACAAGGGCTAGTGACCCGACTGAAGATGGAAAGACATGATTTTCTAGTGTGAGAGGACCCAGTGATAGGTTATGTCCTTACCTAGATACTCCAAGATACTGTCTCTCTGTCTCTGTGTATCTCTCCAGTACTGGGGAATGAACCCAAGGTCTTCACACTGAACTAACTACATTCCTAGCCATTTTTATTATTTTTAATTTTGAGACAGGTCTCTTAAGTTACCGAGGATAGGTTCAAATTTAGCATCCTCACTCCTCAGCTTACCATAGTGTTGGGATTATGGTGTACCCCACAAGGCCCAGCTCCTTTAGTATCTCTTAAGAAAAGCAGCTGGGAATGGTGGCACATACCTGTAATCCCAGCACTTGGGAGGCTGAAGCAGGAGGGTTGACATAAATCTGAGGCCAGCCTGGGCTACATAGTTGGGTTCAAGTCCAGCCTGAACTACATAGCAAGACCTTGTCTCAAAAAAAAAAAAGGTTTATCTAGTATAAGAAGTACATCTTTTATAAGGAAATATAAGAGAATTAGGCTTGTAAGATGACCTAGTGTAATGTACATAGTTCCTGATCAAGAGGATGCAAGGACTTTTCCTAGCTGTTTCTTCCACCTATTCAAAATTATTAATAGCTGGAGATACAGCTTAGCGGCAGAAGTGCCTGCCGGATAAGCGCAAGGTCCTGAGTTTGATTCCCAGTACAAAAAACCCCCCAAAAAAACAAAATTATTAATGAATTCTTTTGGTATTTTGAGTTGGACTCAGACCTCTTAATTTAAGCAACTTTTCCACCTTAGAGAGCAGCCTAGTTTCTAGGATTAGAAACTAGGAAGTCATTCTCAGAGTATGAAAAAGTCCTGTGTCATTGGAAACACAATTTAAATCCTATTTTTACATATGAAGAGAGGAATGTAACACTTCTGAGATTTTGCATAAGAGATGATGGACAAGAGGTCCTGATCGATCTCCCATTTTAATTGTGCTCCTAAGCAGTGTTCTGACTTTAAAGCGTGTCTTTTAAGTATATCTGATGTATAATATGTGACATGGAAGAACCGTAGAAATGCCTTTCAGCAAGCTTAACTGTAACCCATGTATTTCATACTCTCAAGTATTTTGTTCTGGCAGGCATTCCACCCATGATGATGTCGTTACTGTTGAGCCTTTATATGAAAATGACACCTTATGTTCTCAAAGAGCTGTACTCATTGCTGAATCTACCCAGCCAATACGCCTCAACAGTGTTATTCTTGCTCGAGAAATCGGTATGTTGAGAGCAGAATATGTAACCCTTCCCGATAGAATAATCTAATGACTTGTATAACGATGAACAGAAATGCCATTGGTTTGAAATGATAAAAGGTAGAAAAATGGATTCCTGCATTCCTGCAATATAAGCCCTAATTGTTACACTCAAGTTATTTTATTTCTGGTATATCCAGCACCTGGCATGGTATCATATACCAGGGAAACCAGTTGTTTGAATTAATAAAGCAAAGAAGGAATCATTCACTTGGAACTAATGTAGGTGGTAAACTCTGAAGTTGGTGGGGTAAAGGGAAGATAGTGTATAGACTAGGACTTCTTAAATGGTCTGTGAACACAAATCATCACCACCCCTTGCATCTCATGGGACTTGTTAAAAATGTAACTTTTAAGCCCCATCTCCAATATATGTATCAAAATTTCTGACATAGATACCTGGTTCTGTGTTAATAAGCTTTCTTGGTGATTGCTACCCCCACACTTGCAGCTAATCCTTTTTTGTGTGTAGGTATGTGGTAGTGGAGATTTAATGCAGGGAGCACTGGGCCACATCTCCAAGCCCCTTTTATTTTGAGACAACATTTGCCAAGTTGTCTACGCTGTTTTTGAACTTTTTCTTTCTTTCTTTTTTCCTTCCTTTTTTTGGTTTTGAACTTTTGATCCTCTTGCTTCAGGTTCCTGAGTAGCTGGGAATACAGGCATGCACCACTACAGCTGCCTAATTCTTTTTTTTTTCCGGTACTGGGAATCGAGCTCACGACCTTGCACTTGCCAGGCAGGCACTGTGCTGCTGAGCTAAATCCCCAGCCCCCTGGATAATTCTTTTGTTTTAAAATTTATGTATTTTCATTCTGGGGATCAAAGCCAGGGCCTTGGACACATATTCTAAGCACTGCTATGTATACTCAACTCCTGGGCTGAGCATGGTGGCATGCAGGAGGCTGAGGCAGGAGGATTGCTGGGAGGCCAACCTGTGCTACAGAGTGAGTTCAAGGCCAGTCTGAATTACATAGGGAAACCTTCTCTCAAAAAAGAAAAACTAAAACATATACTCTACCCATGAGCTACACTTCAGTTCCCCAGGAACAAGGGTTATCTTTCTATTTTCTCTTTTTTTTTTTTTTTTGCATTTTAAAATTTTTATTGGTACAGTGTAAATGTACATAATGATCATATTCATCATAGGCAATTTGTACTTGTACATGACATATTTTGCTTCTTTTCTCCCATTCCCCAGCATCCTTTCAACCCCTCTTCCCCTCCTTATTTACAAAAGTTTTGTATCTATTTTAGCCGTCCCATTTTTTTATGTCTCTTCTTTCCTCTCCCCCTCCTCCTTCCCTTGTTCCCTTTCTCATGTGAACATTTTTCCTATTTCACAATATCTATTATACATTTGGGTCGTTATGGTTTCTCACACCAGAGAAACTGTGATATTTACACGTGTGTCTGATTTATTTCACATAAGAGTATGGTCTCAAAGTGCACTCATTTACCTAGAAATGTCTCAAACTTATCCTTCTTTGTGGTGGACTACTACTCTATTGTATTAAAAAAAGTACATCTTTATCTACTCATTGGTTGATGGGCATTTGGGATATTTCCAAGATTTAGCTGTTACAGGGGCTGGGGATTTAGCTCAGTGGCAAAGCACCTGCCTGGCAAGCGCAAGGTCGTGAGTTCGGTTCCCAGTACCGGAGAAAAACCAAAAAAAAAAAGATTTAGCTGTTACAATCTGTGTTGCTATAAACATGGGTATGCATATATCACTGTGATATGGTGCTTTTAATTTTTTGGGGAAGATAATAAGAAGGCAATAGCTGGGTCAAATGGGACCTCTAGTATTAGTTTTTTTGGGTTTTTTTGGTTTTTTGCGGTACCAGGGATTGAACTCATGACCTTGTGCTTACCAAGCAGGCACTTATGCCACTGAGCTACATCCCCAGCCCACATATTTTTTGTTTTTGTTTTTGTTTTTGTTTTATTTTTCTTCCAGTACCAGAATCAAACTAATGACCTTGCGCTTGCCAGGCAGGCACTTTGCTGCTGAGCTAAATCCCCAACCCTTGTATTAGCTTTTTGAGGAATCTCCACACTCATTTGTTTCCACAGTGGTTGGACCAGCCTACATTCCCACCAGTGTGGAAAAGGGTTTCTTTTTCCCCAGAGCCATGCCAATATTTGTTATTGGTTGATTTCATGATAGTAGTCATTTTCTTCTGGAGTGAGATGGAATCTCAGAGTTGTTTTAATTTGCATCTCTTGAATGACCAGTGATGTTGAACATTTTTTCATATATTTATTTGCTCTTCCTATTTCCTCATCTGAGAAGTGTCTATTCATTTCAAATACCCACTTTTGGATTGGGTCTTTAAATTTGGGTATCTGATTTTTTTTTTTTTTTTTTTTGAGTTCTTTATATATTCTAAATAGTAGTCCTCTGTCTGAGGAACAGCTGGCAAAACTTTTTTCCCCACTTTGTGGGTTGTGTCTTCACTCTGTTGGTGATTTCTTTTGCTGTGCAAAAATTTTTTTAAGAAGATGAGATCCCAGTTGTTGATTCTTTGTGATATTTCCTGTGCAATCGGGTTTTCTTCATAGTCTTTAGCTACACCAATGTCTTCAAGAGTTCTACCTATCCTATCTTCCAGCAGACTTAGTAATTCTGTTTTAATATTATTTATTTTGTTTTAATATTTAGATCTTTGATCCATTTTGATATTAGCTTAGTGCATGCTGAAAGATATGGGTCTAGCTTTAATCTTTGGCATGTAGAAAGCCAGTTTTTCCAGCACCATTTATTAGAAAGGCTTTCTTTCTTTCTTTTTTCTTTTTTGGTACCAGGAATCAAACTCAGGATCTTGCGCTTGCCAGGTAGATGCTTGTGCTGCTGAGCTATATCCCTGGCCTGAGAGGCTTTCTTTCAATGAAGGTGTTTGGCATGTTTCTCAAAGATAAGGTGGCTGAGTGTGTTTGGAGTTGTTTCTGCATCTTCTAATCTGTTCCACTGATCCTTGAGTCTGTTTTTTTACCAGTATCATTCTGTTTTTATCACAACTGTGTAATGTAATTTTAAGTCAGAGATTGTGATGCCCCCTGCCTTGCCTTTGTTGCCTAGAATTGCTTTTGCTATTCTAAGTCTCTTCTGGTTCCAAATGGATTTTAGGATTGTTTTCTCTAATTCTGAGATATGCTATTGATATTTTGATTGGGATTGCATTAAATCTGTATAACAATTTTGGAAGTATGGCCATTTTTTACTGTATTGGTTCTTCCTACCCAAGAGCAAGAGATATCTTTCCATTTTCTGATATCCTTTTCAATCTCCTTTTTCAGAATACTATAGTTTTCACTGTGAAAGTCTTTTACTTCCTTCATTAGATGGATCCCTAGGTATTTCATTTTGGGGGATGCTATTGTAAGAGATGTGGTTTCTCCAATTTCTCAGTGAGTTTGTTATTTGTGTATAGGAATGCTATTGATTTTTGTTGGTTTTTTTTTGTTTTTGTTTTTGTTTTGTTTTTCTCCGGTACCGAGAACCGAACTCACGACCTTGCACTTGCCAGGCAGGCGCTTTGCCGCTGAGCTAAATCCCCAGCCCCTTGTTGTTGTTTTGAGGCAGGGTCTCACTATGTAATTTTCTTCCTTTCCTATCCTTATTCCTTTTATTTCTTTCTCTTGTCTAATTGCTCTGGCTAATGTTTCCAGAGCTATATTAAATAGGAATGGTGATAGTGGACATCCTTGTCTTGTTCCTGATTTTAGAATGAATGCTTTCAATTTTTGTCCATTTAGCATGATGTTGACTGTTGGCTTGTTATAAATGGCTTTTAGAGCTAGGCATAGTGGTGTACACCTGTAATCCCAGCACTTGGGAGGCTGAGGCAGGAAAATCATTGTGAGTTCAAGACCAGCCTGTGCTACAAAATGAGCTCAAGGCCAGCTTGAACTGTATAGCGAAACCCTATATCAAAAAGACAAAAAAAAAAACCACAAAAAAATTGCTTTTTCCTGAGAAACTATTTTGGCGATATCAATACGTAATACAACAACCACTGTTAATTTCCCACCACTTTGTCTGTAACTCAGTATTGCTTGTATTGTTCTTGTGCTATTTTGTAAATGGATGTCTGTTTGTTAATATGTTTTCCTTTTATTTTTAAAATAAATTTTTAAAAATGGCTTTTATCAGATTGAGTTAAAAATCTTCTAATTTTCTCTAGAGTTTTTATCATGAATAGGTGTTGGACTTTATGAAATGCTTTTTCTACATCTGAGATGATCATATAGTTTTTATCCTTGATTCTCATAATATGGTATATTACATTTATTGATTTACATATATTGAATCATCCCTGCATCCCTGGGATGAATCCTCCTTGGTCATGGTATATATTCATGATGATTTGCTGCATTCTGTTTACCAGTATCTTATTGAGAATTTTTGTGTCTGTGTTCATTAGGGAGATTGGCCTATAGTTCTCTTTTTTGATTGGATCCTTCTTTGGTTTTGGTATCAGGATAATGCTTGTTTTCTAGGAATGAATTTGGGAGTATTGCTTCCCTTTCGGTTTCATTAAGGAGTTTGAGAGGCAGTAGAATTAGGTCTTCTCTAAATTTCTTTCTTTCTTTCTTTCTTTCTTTCTTTCTTTCTTTCTTTCTTTCTTTCTTTCTTTCTTTCTTTTGGTCTTTTTGTGGCAGAGTCTTGCTCTGCAGTTCAGGCTGGTCTTGAGCTCACTTTGTAGCCCAGGCTGGTCTTGAACTTGCAACAATCCTCTGCTTCAGCCTCCTGAGTGCTAGGATTACAGGCATGCACCACCACACCCAGGTAAATTTCTTTTAGAATTCAGCAGCAGTGAATCTGTCAGGGCCTGGGATTTTCTTTGTTGGTAAGTTTTTAATTACATCTTCAATTTCATTGATTGATATCAGTTTATTTAGAATTTTTATATCTTCTTGATTCACCTTTGGTAACTCATATGTGTCTAGGAATTTGTCA